TTAGTGTAGTATGTTGCTAACAGAATTGAGAGCTGATACAAACCAGGCTCTCCATTGATAGATGATAGAAAGGTAAAAAGCTCCTTTGCCCTCTACACTTCTCAGTGTGATCAAGATTCCAAATAACTCACTGCCTATAAGGCATGGAACACCTTCCTCAAACAGCCCTGATGGTGGAGTTAGTACACAGTAGAGCTCCCGGCCAGGACTTCTGTTCTTGAAGGCATGGGGCACTGCCTGCTCAGAGTCAGAAGGCTCCTGGGTTCCCAGAAAGTCACTGTACTTGTTCTTGTTTCTTACCTCTAGGGAGGGATTTCACTGTACTTTAGTTTTCAGCCTACTGCACTGGAACAACAAATAGAACCAAAGGACCAGAACCCCAAAAATTTCTATCCTGACAAGATTTTCTACCGAAATTTTGTCTTCAAGAGATATTAACTTTGCATTTGTTCATAAATTCTGCATCTGTGATCTCAAGCATATTTTGACTACACTGAGTACCTCAACATGCAGTTGCTATTAAACAAACTCATAGTGCTACATTCTCTCTTAACATAAATAGGCAAAACCACATTTTACCCTACATATATACCCTATTCCCTGATGGGGATCACCAAAAGCTTATCTCCAGTACTGTTGCTACCAGGATACAACTCACATCTCCTTGCCTTGCCTGGCTCCCCAGTGTTCCAGGGAATCATCTGGAACTTAAGTCCACTACTCTGCTTTCCATGTAAGAGCATGTCTTTGTTTATGTTCTACCTGTGTTCATATAATGAGTTTAATATCTGACCCACAAGTAGATGTTGTTAGAAGGGGCTATAGAAACTCACCATCACACATTGTCTTTATTCTTAGTGTTATGATTGGCTGGTTTAAGGTGGGTACATTTTGAAGTTGGCACACAGTATACATTAGCCTGTAACTCAACTGTTCTTGTGAGGTTTTCCTCAGTTTCCTTTCTGCCATGTATTGACTAGAGCTTCTTAAATGGCAGCAGGGAGGTCCTGATTTGGTGGAACCTTGTGCTTTAGTTTGATTGCAGCTAGTGAAAAGCAGCAAGCCCCTGGAAAATAACCAGGATCACAGGACAGCAGGTTCTTTTCTAGGCTTTACTATTTCACCCACTCACTCTCTTAATGTGGAGTGAATGCTATAGTAGACAGTTACCTTTCCCCATGTTTGGTGTGTGAGATGGAGCTTATCAGTGATACAGTAAGTCTTTTCTAGTTTCAGATTTCTTTCTTGTCCTTTGTCCCCGTGTTCTTACTTCGTCAGGATGCTATACTTTCCTTCTTCTAAAATTTTATTTCTATAGTGTTACCCTGTTAAATTAGGCATTTTATTTAAGAATGGTTTAATGTTTAAAAACCTTTCTTTTCAACAGGAAATACCTCTGTACTAAGAGAAACTGCAATGGAAGGTGGAAAAGCATGTGACTTAAATATTTCAAGTCATTCAAAGGCGGATGGTATGGCTTTCCTTGTTTTTATTAATATATAATACTTGTAGTTTGATTAATATTATCTATATAATAGGCATGATGTCAACATATCACATTGATAGAATTTTTAAGTGTTGTTGCTACTTTGAAGATAATATTTAAAATAATTTCATAAGTTTCCAAAATTATACAATTAAAACAGATTAAGCCAGGTATGTGCCACATCCTTGTAAAATCCCAGCACTCAGGGAGGCTGAGACAAGAGGGCCAAAAGTTCAAGTCCAACCTGGGCAATGTAGTCACTCTGTCTAAAGAATTAAAAAGGTCAGGGGTATAGCTCAGTGTGAAGGCCCTGGGCTCAGTGTTGAGTATTGGGAAAAAAATTTTTTTTAAATCAATACAGTATTTACGGGGCTGGTGAGCTGGCTCAGTGGTCTAAAGCACCTACTTGGAACAAGCTTAGCAAATCACAGGGACCACGGTTCAATCCCCCAGCACCACATGCCAGCCAGCCCCGCCCCCAGGTGGACTGAGCTGGCCACACACACACACACACACACACACACACACAAATAAAAAAAATTTTTAAAAATACGGTATTTACTTACTTTCAGTCATATATGTTCTATTGTAGGATTTTTGTTATCTTTTATACCACCTGTTCTGTCTTTTGTTTTTCTTTAAATAATGTTTAGTTTTAAGCTGGATATGGTAGCATACACCTGTAATCCCAACACTAAGGAATCTGAGGCAGGAGGATCACCAAGAGTACAAGGCCAGCCTGGGCTACAGAGGGAGTTCAAGGCCAGCCGGAACTACTTAGTGAGACCCTATTGCCAAGAAGAAAGTAAGAAAAGTTCAATTTTTAGTTTAACATTCATTTAAAAGGAAACCTAATATCAGCTGTTACTGAATGTAACATAAAACTAATATACTTGTATTATGGTAAGAAAGTAATGATACAAATAAATAAAATGAAAATAAAATTAGTAAATGTTACCTAAATAGTGTTGATGTATTGAATATGTTTTGTCTTTGTTGAAAGGATAGATTAGCAGATGTTAAAGACATTTTAAAGTCATACTAAAGCCAGATCGAAACTTTTCCTTGATTTAGAATAATTAAAAAAATAAAAATGGAACACACACTCTACCCTGTGATTCAGTGTCATTTGATGTGGAGCCCTTTTAAGCCACCATGTGGCTTAAAGAAATACTTCTACCTTTAGTTTCCTCATTTGGAAATTTCCTTCCAAGTTTTAAGTTATGTGACTGTTTTTAGATCTTAAGAGTGTTTTTTCGGGCTGGGGAGATAGCTCAGCAGAATAAGTGCTTGCCTGCCAATCACAGGGTCCTGAGTTCAATCCCTGGTACCGCCAAACCCAAGGAAAAAAAAAAAAAAAGAAGTGTGTTTTTTCTCAGCCATTAAAAAGCAGTGTCTGTAGCTCAGTGGACTAGACGCCTGCTTAGGCAAGCGCAAGGACTGGTGTTTGATCCCTAGCACCACATGTAGCCCTGACCCTGCCTCTGAGCACACTGAGCTGGCCACCAAGTCCAGGTGTGGTGGCACATGCCTGTAATCCCACTGCTGGGGAGGCAGAAAACAGGAGGATCACTACAAGTCTGAGCTGCATAGCAAGACCTGTATGAAATACATAAAAAACAAACAAACAAAAAAAGCACAGGGACTAGGGTTTGATCCCCGGTACCACATGCTGCACTGGCCCGCCCCCAGGTGCACTGAGCCAGTGACCAGTTCCAGGCGTGGTGACACATGCCTGTAATCCCAGTGCTGGGGAGGGTTGGAAACAGGATGCTCACTATGAGTCCAATCTGCATAATGAGACCCTGTACATAAATAAATAAATAACAGTGTCTGTTGCTTTCCTTGGGAGTGCAGACCTGACTGGTAAATTCCAGTGAAAGAATGTGTATAGTTCCTCATTCTGACTTGTTTTGTTTTTCTTTAACCATACCATATAGATGGCGCTTCATAATTCAAACTTGGTTTTATAGTATAATTTTTAAGCCAACATGCATATTTTAGGTTGAGTTCCCCTTCTGCAAAGAATTCTTAGAAAATTCACTTTGAAGTAATGAGTTCTACAATAGATTTAGTTTTGATCCATTTAGTAAGGAAGAGAGCAAAATCCTTCAATCTCGATTATTAGTACCCTGTAACAGATGTGAGCTATATGAGAGCTGATGGTGGATAGTGTTAAATCCCAGCACAGAAGCATGATAAAATCCTAACTTCTGCTTCATGCTGTTTGGAGATAGCTACCAGTCCCTTTCCTTGCTGTGGCTGATCCCCGCCTTCCTATTGAAGTGCACACAGTGACTTAGGTGTGTAAATACGTACATACAGAGAGATGTGTGTACTTCTTACCTGCATGGTGAAGGGTAGGAGGAAGCCTTCCAGCAGTATCTGCTAAGCTAAACTGCTAGTCCCTTCATATTTGTATTGTTGACTCTTAGCAGTGTTAAAACCCATCCCAGTTTTCAGGGTAAAGTAATCCTGTCGTGTGGACCACCACTCTGACTTTGGTTAGTTCTTTATGCCTCCCTGAGCTTCAGTATTGTCCTCATTAAAGCACAGGTGATAACGCCTGCTTCTTAGGGTAGTGTGCGCTATGGGAAGCCGCCCTTTAACACTTCTACTACAGGCCCATGTGAAGCACATGGGCCGTGCTGACGTGGTGATGCGGTGATAGCCCTGTCAGCTCAGGTTGGACCTGGATCTGCAAGCACCCTGTTTGAGACAGGGTTATTGGTCCATGTCTGGTGGGGAGTATAAGAAGCATTTCATCCTAGCAAGTACTAAATCAGTGACGATACTCCAATATAAAACAGCCCGATAAAAGTATAGCTGAGGCCTGGGGAGATAGCTCAGCAGTCTAAGCACCTGCCTGGCAAGCACAAGGCCTCAGGTTCGATCCCCTGTACCACATACTGTGCCGGCCTCCATAACCAGGTGTGGTGGCACTGGGGAGGCCGAAACAGGAGGATCACTATGAGTCCAGCTACATAGGGAGACCCTATAACAAATACATAACTTTTTAAAAAAGTATAGCTGAAATGTCATTTCTGTGTTTTTCCCGACCTCCAAGGTTAGCAGACATATCTTTTCAGTGCAACTCATCACCCATCTGGGGGATTGTCAGTTTGGAGTGGCTGCTTCAAGTTTTCTTTTATCCTAGGGTCATCGCCAGTGCTCTCACCAAGGAAGCCTTCTGACCCAGTCATGGATTTTTTCAGTTCACATCTTTTAGGTGACTCTTCCTCACCAGCAACTAATTCTACCCATACAGATGCCCACGAAATAATTGTAGGTGATTGTTTTGTGTCTGATGAAAACCTTCAAAGGATGGAAAATGTCCTTGATCTCTGGAGTTCCGGTCTGAAGGTATTACAGTTGTGTAGCTACAGTTGTTTAATTTACTATGAAGTGCAGTCGCTTTCCTCAAGTGTACTGTTTATTCTTCTATTTCAAAGGTTTTCTTAGAAAACATCTTTAGCAAGGTTGGGGACATAGCTCAGTGCACCCAGCATGCCCTGGGTTCTGTTTTCAAATTCCAGCACCACAGAAACAGAAAACAATAAACAAAAATGTTTAGCTTCCTGAGATGAGCCCCAAGCGTCAGGTTTTTGCTGTGCTGTGCATCGCAGCCAGCTGGAGATATGGTGAAAGTGCAGCTTGCTGCTCAGTAGGCCTTGGGCAGGACCCAAAAATGATGCCCTGCTCTTGAGCTCCCAGATGATGTTGCCAGTCTGGCAGCCATACTTTAAATTCTAGAAATAGTCTTTTAGCATAGTTTCCCCCATTCTTCTCCCTTTGGAACAAGTATCACGCTTCCAGTAATGCTGTGAGTCCCTTGGAGATGTATCGACCCCACCATGCACATTGGTTGAGCTCAGTCAACCTTCTCGTGAAAAGTGATTAGTTGGTCTTTTAGCCTATGCCAGTCAGAAGCGTTAAGACTTAGGCATTTAGTGGAAGGTGACTGGTATGAGAAGTGGCTTTGGGAAGGTGGCTTCAGCTCCTACAGTTTCTGCTACCACCTATATCTAAACAGTGGTCCTAGTCATGGTTCAGCTGAGCCTGCCATCCTGAATTCTTTTTTTTTTTTTTTTTTTTTTTGGTACTGAGTATTGAATTCAGGACCTTGCACTTGCCAGGCAGGTGCTTCAGCCACTGAGCTATCTCCCCAGCCCTTGAATTCTTTACCTGAACCATTTTAATGTGGACATTTAAGTCCTTGAATAGACAAAGGGATCTTTGGAGTTCCGGTCTTAAGGTATTGCAGTTGTGTAGCTACAGTTGTTTAATATGAAGTGCAGTCTCTTTACTCAAGTGTGTTTATTCCTAAATTCCTCATTTATTCCTCAATGAGGCCTGAACTGTGTTTTTAGAAAGGCAAGACTATACAAAGTAACTTAAAATGGAAAAAGCTAAGTTCTGCAGTATAGTAAATATGAACAACAAAGAGGCAAGACAGTTGAGCTTGCATACACTATCCTCCGTGTGTCGTGACTTTTTAGTACTACTGGCTGTGATTTTTAAATTTTTTTTTTTGTAGTTTCCATTTAAGGAAGCACTAAGAAAAAACTAATTGTTGTGTATTTATTTTTCAGACAAACATTATATCTGAACTAAGCAAATGGAGACTTAATTTTATTGACTGGCACAGAATGCAGATGAGAAAGGAGAAGGAAAAGCATGCAGCACACATACAGCAGCTGCACGGCCAGATCAGTGACTTGAAGGAGCTGCAGAAGGCCTTCGAAATTTCCATCGGGAGAAAAGATGAGGTCGTCTGCTATGCCTTTTCTTTCTGAGACAGGGTCTTGCTGTGTATTCCAGGCTGGCCTTGAACTCACTACGTAGCACAGGCTGGCTTCAAACTCACAGTAGTACTCCTGCCTCCATATCTCAAGTGCCGGGATTGCAGGCATGTGCGATGTATCTGGCTTTGTATCTCTTTTTGACTGAGATACAGTAAATGCTTTACTAAGTAATGAGTTCTAAGAACTAATGATTATTTAGCTCATATGAGGTACAAACAGGAAATCGCTTCAGAACTTGATAGCAAAATAAGTTCCTAGCCATCGATATATTCTTCTTCCTAAACTCTCCAGGGTGATGCTGTTTTACCTTTGCTTAAGAGTGTCTGCTAAAATACAAGCAAACTGATTTGTATCTTTCTAATGTTCTCCACCAGCTCTTTAAAGATCATAGAATAAATATTACCCACATTTTTTTTTTTAATTTTATGTATTTGGTACAGGGTCTCACTACTCAGCTGGGACTCATAGTGATCTTCCTGTCTCAGCCTTCCCAGCGCCAGAATTACAGGGATGTGCCACCACACCCAGTCTCATGGCAGGCACTGTGTGTGCTACCAGGGATCGAACCCAAGTCTTTGCACTTACCTAAGCAGGCACTTAGACTGCTGAGCTATCTCTGCAGCCCCATTTTTGTTTTGGTTTGTTTTGGGAGAAGGTTAAAATAGGATCTCACTTTTGTCATTTAAACTGCCCTTGAGGGGCTGGCCAAATAGCTCAGCAGATTGAAGTGCTGCAAGCAGACACAGGGCACAGGGGTTTGATCCCCAGGCCTGATGTGCCAGCCCAGCCCCTGGGGCACGCCGAGGACAGCAACTGGGACTGGGCGTGGTAGGGCACTTATAATCCCAGCTCTTGGGAGGCTGGAAACAGGCAGATCACTAGGAGTCTAATCTAGTAGTGAGACCTTGAGCATCCTGTAGACTCTTCCCTAAAATACAGAAAAATAAATAAACTGGCCTTGAACTCACTATGTAACCCAGGCCAGACTGGAACTCAAGGTGACCTTCCTGCCTCAGCCTTTCGAGTGCTAGGATTACAGGTGTGCACCATTGTGTCTGGCATTACCCACATTTTAAATTGACCTTTTAGGGAATATTTTAAGTATCTCAAATTCCATCTTTCTTTACGGCTGAAAATAAACACAGAAAATATCCCTAGTTTCACACTGTCAGCCTCTTGAGAATTTGAGGTGAGGGTTCAAGTCCCCACCATATTTCTGCCTCCTGACAACACCTGAGCAGAGCAGGTGGGCAGCCAATCTCCATGCTTGATGGACAGAGGAGACAGTGGGCAGTAGCATTCAGAGAAGAGGACTTGGGGCGACATCACAGCTGAATGTCTGCAGAAATAGCACTGGGTCACAGAGAGCACATTGGCCAAGCATTGGCCGTGACTCATCCACATGGCTGCACTGATAAAGGTTCTACAATCTGAGGTACAGGATCTCAGGACAAATCCTGAGGGCATTTCACTGACCTTCTCAGACCAAAAAGCTACAACTCTTGTTGCACAGGTCCTGCTTTACCTTGGTCTTAACCATCCAGCAGAAAAGTATGAAGACGAAATTATAAGAAATAAAGCCATGCTGTTAAGTTGAGCTGTGGGGGACTCAGGTCAATAATTTCTGACATTGCCAGTTAAACAGAAGACCCAATGCTATTATGGGCTACTAGACTCTTTTAGAATATTTTGCTGAGTTTACACACCTATAATATTCAATAACGGAACTTAGAAAAAATGGGGTACACCGATGAATGTCCATTTTGTATCTGTGTATTCAAAGTGGTTGGGATAGATATATAGTTACATTCTGTTAATGAATAGAATGATTTGTTCTAATGGTGTTTGTAAATAGGATCACAAGTCCGCATCTTGTACAGCAATTAACCACTAAGAAGAATATATGTAGTGTATTATTTGTTGAAAAATAAAAAAAAAAAAGAAATAGCACTGGGAGTTGCAGTGAGCTAGATGGACACTGCGTTTTTTAAATATACATGTACTTTGCCTTCTCAGTGTATAATATAAAAGTGCACATCTATGTAGTTTACTTTTTAGCAGACACTGATGTCAGTCACTTTTTCTCTTAGCTTCAGAAATCCCTGTTGTAAGATTGTTAGATATTTTAGTATCATGTTAAATTTATGAAAATGAATGAAGTGAACTGCCATCCAGCTTAAGAAATAAAGTCTAAAAGGGGGTAGCCAAATAGCTCAGTGGATTAAAGTACCTGCAAGCAGGTGCAGGGACTGGGGGTTCAATCCCTGGGCCTGCCGTGCTGGCCCCGCCCCCAGGGTGCGCTGAAACTGGGTATGGTAGCATGTTCCTGTAATCCCAGCTCTTGGAAGGCTGTAAACAGGCGGATCACTATGAGTCAGATCTAGTAGTGAGACTCTGAACACCCTGTAGACCCTTCCCTAAAATACAAAAAATAAAAATAAAATTTAAAAAAAAAAAAAAGAAAATCTAACAATTATCTTGAATGTGTACCATTTTTTCTTTTGAAAGTAATAATCATGACAAATATTGCTTGGTAAATATGTCCAATTCACTCAATTGTTTTTTTTGTTTGTTTGGTTGGTTGGTTTTGTTTTGTTTTGTTTTTCCTTTATTTTAGGGAAGAGTCCACAGGGTGTTCAAGGTCTCACTACTAGATCAGACTCATAGTGATTCCCCTGCTTACAGCCTCCCAAGTGCTGGGATTACAGGGGTGCACCACCACACTCGGTTGCAAGAGCCAATATGGCAGCCACAGGGATCAAACACCCAGCCCCTTAATCCACTGAGCTATTTGGCTGGCCCTCATTCAATAGTTTTTAATGTGACTACTTTAAAGTTATTCAGTTCTTTCTAAGAGAGAATATTATCTTAGGATTTGAAGGCCTTTTTTTTTTTTTAAGAACAGGAATAATCTCTGAGAAAGCATATCAAAATGTCACTATTTTATTCTCAAAAAGTTTTAAACCATAAAACTGTTAAAGTTATTGAAAAATTCCTATGCCAAGATGTTGAACAAATGACTAAAATTTATTTGAAACCTAGTCCTAGCATTTCTCTTAAGATCAAATGTAAAACCTAGCCCTGCTCACAGATGTAGTGAATTTGTATATATAGCAAAACTTTAAGGTGCACAATTGTTTTTCTGAATTAAAATGTTAATATATTAATTTTCATATCAAGATATGTGCACATGAAGGTTTCTTTCCACTTATTTCTTTTTATTTATTAATATATAGTATTTTCACATAGAGAATTTTTGTGGTCTTTTTAATAATAATGATGAATTTAGATGAATATGGTAAAGACTCATAGCCATTCTCTCTAGTACTTTTTGATATGCGAGAAAATCGTCCTTTCAATCATTGTTATTTTACTCTCACAATAATTGGGTTAATTGCTGTTTACAGGTGATTTCCAGCTTGTCTCATGCCCTTAGCAAACAAAAAGAAAGGATAGAGCTAATGCGAACCTTCTTCCACTGGCGGATCGGCCACGTCAAATCCAGGCAGGATGTAAGTATCAATGAACAAGGTCACTGACTACTATTAAACTTCTGAACTCACAGAGGGTTAGGATCCTGCTTAGGCACTTCAATCTTGCTGAGACGCAGTACCCCACACAGTGAAAAGGGGGGATTTACCTGGGCCTGTGGTTTTTAGTGGCATCAATCATAGTTGACCAGAGGGGCCTGCTGGGAGGGTCTGGCGGAGGAAAGCTGCTCATATTGTGGCGGGTAGGAAGCAAAGAAGGAGAGCGAGGCGAGGCAGTGCACCCTTCCAGTCATCCCCACGACCACCTCCTCCGTCCAGACCCCACATCCTAACAGCAAGTTGGCCACGCTCCCCCATGATCCTGTCCACCTTCCAGAGTGCCCTAAGCCGTAGCAGCACACTTGTCAGAACTCTTGCTACAGCCAAAGAAAGATGTGTTTTCTAATAAGTCAAAATGAATATATGATGTTATTTCTCTTATTTAAAATTTGATTTTTATATAGTTTCACAAAAAACACCCCTCAGATCCTATAGGCAAATATATATTATGGTAAGTGCAGCATTTACTACTTTATCATAGTTGCATAAGGATTGTGCCTCAATTACAAATGCCCTGGTAATAAGCCTTTAGGATTCAACCTCTCAAGTATAGATATATGGAAAAATAATTTGTAATCGTAATTATATCATATGGCTTCCTTCTAAAACACCTAGGCCAGAGCATTGTCATCCACCTATAGTCCCAGCTACTCAGGAGGCTGAGGCAGGACAATGGCTTTAGTCTAAGAGCTTATGAGCAGCTGGGCAACATAGCAAGATCTTAAAAATAAAATACCTGCTTACAGCATCTTCATAAATACCTTTTTATGTTATAAGATACTACGAATGTTTGTTGTACAACCTTGCTTTAGCATGAGAATCAAAAAAACTATGCCTACCCAGATTTGATTTTTTTAATATTTTAAATTTAAAGAATTTTTTAAAAAATTAAAGGAGTAATTTCAACCTGAGCATCTTGCAGGGGTTTTTTGGTTTGTTTGTTTTTTTTTTTTTTTTGGCAGAACTGGGGATTGAACTCAGGCCCTTGCGCTTGCCAGGGAAGCGCTTATTCTACTGAACCATCTCCCCAGTCCCACATCTTGTAATTTAATAAGAACTGAATCAATATATCAAAATAGCGAATTGACATCAAAGTAGAGAAATGTGAGAGAGGATATACAGTGCCCATGAGCAAAGGGGAAGGATTTGTATTTACATGCATGTTCATTTAGTTTCCAATAAATTAATACATATTTAGGAAAAAGTTATTGTTATCGTGGAAGCAGAATTTCTCCTTAGGGTTTGTATTGGTCAGCTTTCCCCGCCAGGGAAAAGTAACTGACACCGTATGAGGGTGAAGAGGTTTCCCCTCGTGCACAGTGTGACCCAGGATCAGCTGGTTCCTGGCAGAAATGCCCATGGCAGACGGCAGTGATGCAGGAAGGCTCCTTAGCACACGGCAGGCAGGAGCAGAGAGCAGGGGAAGAGCGGACCAGAGCACACCTTGCAGGTTGCACCTCCAGCATTCTACACCTCCCAACCTGAGGTTCATCCCTCTGAGCCCCTCGCTGGGCAAGCTAATCAGCTTCCAGGAGTCTCTTAATCCAGGCACGTTGGCACTCAAGATTAACTAGCACAAGAGTATTTCCTTGTGCTGTCATGTTTTAATTAATCCCAGTGGCTAAAATCCACCTTAATCATGTTGAAACAAGTTGTTTAAGTATACTATGCTTTGAAAGTTGTCAGGTGACCCACACTGAAAATAAATATGTACTTAAATATTTATACAATATGCAAATCTATAAGTAAGTTGACGAGATCCTCATTTTCTTTGATTTGGCTTTCTGTTTTTCCCCTAACCTGATGAACTGTGTTCAGCCATCCTGGAAGCGTGAGGCGGGTCAGCTGCTCCGTCCCACGCGTGTGACCGAGGCAGATCTCCTGCCTCAGCCTCCTGTCCTTACCAAGGGTCGCATCCTGTTCACCAGTCCACTGTGGCTTTGAGATTGTATGTTGCTTTCGTTTAGGCTTATGAAGGTAAACTAGCTGACCAGTACTTCCAGAGAACGTTACTGAAGAAAGTCTGGAAGGGCTGGCGCTCCGTGGTGCAAAGGCAGTGGAAGGAGGTGGTAGAGCGAGCTTGTCAAGCGAGAGCCGAAGAAGTCTGCATCCAGATTTCCAACGATTATGAGGCCAAAGTTGCTATGGTAACCTTCTCTCTTAAATTTCACTTACGTTAATGCAAAGATGAGTAGATTCACTATTAGTTTAGTTTTCTCTCTTTACTGTTACTCTTTACTATATAGCCAAAAGCAAGAAAAGATTTTAATCATAATATTAATTTAAATTCTAATGAGATTAGCATGAAGCAGATGCATATAAACTGAAATTATTTTTTCTACTTTTAAAAATAAAGTCAGAGTCGGGGAGATGGCTCAGTGGAATAAGCACTTCTCTGGCAAGTGCAACGGCCTGAGTTCAATCCCCGGTTCTGGAAAAAAAAAAAATAAATAAGTAAAGTCAATACTGTTTCCATGGGAAAATATTTGGTACTTAAAATTAAAATCATCTGAAAAATATGGTAGTCCTCATGAAATAAGTATTAAAAAGAAACTTCATCATTATGACTCTAAATTATTAATATTCAAAATAAATTTCATGATACAAAAAACATACTGCAATTCAGATGACATGCAAAAATTTAGTCCCTGCTGAGCGGTGCATACCTGTACTCCCAGCACTCTGGAGGCTGAGGCAAGAGAGTCGTTGTGAGTTTGAGACCAGCCTGGGCTCAAGGCCAGCCTGAACTACATAGCAAGACCCTATCTCAAAAAAAAAAAAAAGGTAGTCCCTGCAGGTTTGGTCTATAGCAAAAATGGGCTATACCTAAATGTACTCTATACTTTATTTCTGTAGATAGCATTCACTTCCTAAAACTTATGTAAATGTTGTATTTAGGGTGTTTTGTTTTTTCCTGAAGAGATCAGGGGTATCTGTGGCTCATGTAAATCAATGTATTTTGTTTAATATCATAGATAAAAGTTTATTGGTAAAAATGACATGTTTTTATATGATGAAAATGTAGCAGAAGACACCACTCTCCTAGCCCCCACCACGAAGCAGTATACTTCGGTAGTAGTCTGCTTACAGTTCCTGTTTCTTATTAGTGACTGCTCAGTGTGGTGGCTATGGTAAGAATGAGCCCCCAGCTGACAGCCATTCTGCTTCCGTACTTCCTGCTTGCCTATTGCGTAAGCCCTAGACCACCAGAGCTTGGGCCTGATGTTCTGGGAATGGTCCTGATGACGGTCCATCATGTAGACAATGTGCCTCCAAGTCCTGGGTGTCCTCTCAGTGTCACTGCCTACTGACAGCAAACCAGGTGTGCTTGCACACACTTGCAATCCCAGGACTCGGCAGGCTGAAGCCGGCGGATTGCCGTGAGTACCAGACCAGGCTGGTTTGCAAAGCGAATTCAAAACCAGCCTATACTGCACAGCTAAACATTATCTCAAAAAGACAAAAGAGAGGTGGGGAAGGAGAGAATACACTGACAATCTTCAGGGAAACTGGTAGAAGATTCTCTACTTATTTGAGCCTTGACTTTATGGTTAGGAATGAAAATGGTTTGTTGATGGAGACATTAGGCATAAAATGCAACTAAATTTAATTATAAGAGCTAAATTATAAATTAAATTATAAGAGGTATATGGCATAAGAGCTATATGGCCAACTTTTTATTCTATAAATTAACTTCATAATATGTCTATATTTTTAGCAGTAGTACTGTTTCTTATCTCTCAAATTTTTTTTTTCTAATTATCTTTATTTTAGTTATCTGGAGCTTTGGAAAATTCTAAAGCCGAGATTCAGAGAATGCAACAAGAGAAAGAGCACTTTGAAGATTCCATGAAGAAAGCATTCATGAGAGGGGTGTGTGCATTAAATCTAGAAGCCATGACTATATTTCAAAACAGAAATGATGCAGGTTAGTATTGAAGTATCTTCACTGTCAAAAAGAATTTAAGACAGTTTTTAGTGAGTAGTGTGGTCAACAGTACTAATCTATGATAGGTGTAGCTCGCGTAGGCACTGTTTAGTTTCATAATGCCGTATTCAGCTTTAAATCTACCGTGAAATTTAGCTTAGTCAGAGTTACTTATGTTACCTTAGATCAGATCAGGTAAACTGCCAATTTTTAATTATTTAAGCTAAAGGTTAAAGTAATACTTTTAATGTAGGACATTATTTTAAGAGTTTGGGGGGTAGTATTTTTTTAATCTTTTATTTATTGTTTTGGTGCAGGGTCTCACTATGCAGCTCAGACTCGTAATGATCCTTCTGTTTTCAGCCTCCCCAGCACTGGTATGACAGGCATGCACCACCACACCTAGTCTCTGACCAGCTCAGCGCGCCGGGCCAGCGGGGCCTGCGGTGCCCAGGATTGAACCCTGCACTTGCCTAAGCAAGCACTTATTCTGCTGAGCTCTCTTGCCAGCCCAGACATTTAACATTTAAATCATGTGTGCTGTGGTGACAGTTTGGGCAGATAGTTCTGTGGCAATGGTGGCAAACCCATGGCATGAGTGCCCATTTGTTATCACTGAATACTCTAGAAGATTCACCATCACTGTTCTGTGAGAATCAGTTATAATATATGGTCCAAATGCAGGTTAGAAAGTTGTTATCCTAGAACTACAAGGCTGAATTATTTATCTTGCTAGAACTCAAGTAAGAACTTGATTGTCCAATAAATAGACTTTTATTTGAAGGTTCGTACTAAACACCAGCTCACCACCCTCAATGATAGACTAGTCTGTTTTAGCTTTTTTTTTCGGTCTTTTTGAGATGTCTTACCAAACAGTTCAGGCTGGTGTTGAGCTCACTTTGTAGCCCACACTGGTCTTGAACTCACAATCCTCTTTCCTCAGCCTCTAGAGTGCTAGGATTACAGGTGTGTGCCACCACACCCGGCATAGCTCTAATTATTAATAGGTTGCATGTACTGAATTGAGGCTTGGTGTATTTAGAAGAGATAATGGGTTTTATAGGCAACAAGTTCCAACTGTTTTAAGTGACGAGGGGATATTATTTGTCATAACAATGATCATTAAAGAAGACAAAGATTATAAAATACACACTATAGTAGTACTGGTGGAGCTACCAAGGGCAAGAGCTCGGTGCAATCTAATGCTGGCTATGCTTCATGCTAATTAGATTTTATAACATCTTATTGACAGCTATTTTAATTTTTAAGTTCTCATAAGAAAAAAAAAACACATCAAAAAAAAGTACTTCTGACACCCTTTCTCTCAGTAAAACAAAATTGTTATTTTATAATGCACTTTTAAATAATACAAGCTGTCTTAATATACCAGTCCTATTAAATACTTATTTGTTTTTGTTTGTCCCAATTCTCTGTTGTCTATAATCTCCATTCAGCCTCATGTTATGCATTACTTTTGGATTATAAACCAGAAGAAGGCAGAGTTTGGCAATAAAAAATGGCCTTAAAATGATACCTGCCCGGGGCTGTTGAGATAGCTCGGTGGTCCAAAGCGCCTGTGTAGGCAAGCTTAGGCAGGCACAGGGGACCCTGGTTCAATCCCCAGCACCACATGCTGCCCGAGCCCTACCCTCAGGGTGGGCTGAGCTGGCCAAAAAAAAATAATAATAATACCTGCCAATTTTTCAAGCTATTTTAGGCACGGAAGAAAAATGCAACTATGAACAACAGTAGCCCCATGTTTGCACCTTTGCTTCTGTTGTATTTTACCAACAGTGTGGTCTCAGATTGCATATACATTTACCTATTAAGTCTCCAATTTATCCCTTTTAATGGCTTTATGCAACTTCATTGTATAAAAAGACTACATCTTTTTAATCCATTCCTTGATTGATGGGCCCTTGGGTTGTTCTAAGATTTAGCTATTAAAACTTGCGCTGCTATAAACATGGAGGCACATATATTGCTGTGGTGAAATGTTTTCAGTTCTCCTGGGATGATACCCAGAAGGGGACAGCTGGCTCTAATGGGACCTCCAAACCTAGGTTTTGAGGAATCTTCACACTGATTTCCACAGTGGTTGCGCCAGTCTGCACTCCCAGCAACAGTGGAGAGGGTTTCCTTTTTCCCCACAGCCCCTCCAACATGTTGATGGTTGACTTGTTAGCCCTTCTTTCCTGCATGAGATGGAATCTCCGTGTTTGCATTTGCATCTCTTGAATGATCAGTGATGTTGAACATTTATTTACTTATTTATTTATTTGCTGTTTGTGCTTCTTCATCTGAAGTTTGTATTCATCTCAGATGCCCATTTTTGAACTGAGTCTTTAAATTGGTCTGATTTGTTTTGGTTTTTTGGTTTTTTTAATTTTTTATTTCTGTTTGTTTGTTTTTTGCTTCTTTATATATTCTTGATAGTTATCCCACATTTTGGGTTATCTCTTCACTCTGTTGGTAGTTTCTCCTGCTGTGCAAAAGCTTTTCAATAAGATGACATCTCAGTTGTTCATTTGTTGTGATAGTTCCTGTTTTATTCATAAGGTTTTTGTCTTTACCAATGTCTTCAGGAATTTTACCTACTCTATCTTCCAGAGTAGATTTAATATTTCTGTTTTAGTATTTAGAACTTTGATCCTTTCAAAGTTCGTTTAGTGCATGGGAAAAGATAGGGATGTAATTTTCACCTTCAACATATGCAGAGCCGGTTTTCCAGCACCATATATTAAAGAGCCTATCTTTCTTTCAGTGAATGTGTTTGGCACTTTTATCAAAGATAAGGTGGCTGAGTATGTCTGGAGTTGTTTCTGCTTCTTCTAAACTGTCCTGTTGATCTTTGGATGGTTTTTTGTTTGTTTGTTTGTTTGTTTTTGTTTTTTGCTGGTACTATGCTGGTACTATCTTTTTATCACAAGAGCTTTATAGTATAATTTCAAGTCAGGGATTGTGATCCCTTCACTGCCTTCCTTTGTTATCCAGAATTGCCTTTTCTGTTTGTCTCAGTTCCTCTTCTCTCATTGCTGGGACAAGTACCCGACACTCAAAATGAAGGAAGGAAAGGTTTATTTAGCTCACAGTTACTGGAGGTTTCAGTCCATAACCAGCTGGCTCTGAGGCAGAGTGGCACATGGCAGAGGGCAGCGGCTCATGGCAGCAAAACGGCAAGAGCAAAAGGGAGGAGAAACAGCAACAGCGGCTGTAGAGAGCAAGTCTGTCTCTCTCTTATGTTACATTCAGGCTATCCGCTCTAGGCTGGGTATAGAACTCACCCATAATCCCAGCCTTGGATCATGAATTAATCACAGACTGTAGAACTGTGCCTCAGTGACTGCGTGAGGCTTTGGGGGGACAAAGGCACACAAACCATAACCCTATTCTAGGTCTCTTTTGGTTCCATATACATTTTAGGATTGTTTTCACTAATTCTGTGAGATATGCTATTGGAATTTTAATCAGAATTGCATGACAGGAACCAAGGAGATAGCTCAGTGGTATAAGTGCCTACCTGGCAAGGTCCTGAGCTTGATCCCTGGCACCAAAAAAAAAAAAGAATTCTGTTACATCTGTATAACAGCTGTGGAGGTATGGCCATTTTCTTCGTATTGGTTCTTCCCACCCAAGAGCAAGGGATATCTTTCATTTTCTGATAGCCTCTTCAATCTCTTTTTTCAGAGTACTGTAGTTTTTATAATAGAGATATTTTATATCTCTATTTGCTTCTTTATATCGATTTCCTTCTTTACATCAATTCCTAGGCATTTTTTTCTTTTTTCTTTTTTTTTGGGGGGGATGCTATTGTAAAAGGTGTGGTTTCCCTAATTTCTCTCTCAGTGAGTTTGTTATTTATGTGTAAGAAGGCTATTGATTTTTGAGTGTTGACTTTATAGCTAGCTGTGCTACTGAATTTGCTTATTAAATCTAGCAGGTTTTGGTGGAGTTTTGGGGATCTTCTATTTAGAGTATCATGTCAGCTGTAAATAATGATAGTTTAATTTCTTTCTGTCCGTCTGTCTGTCTTTCTTTCTTTTTTTTTTTTGCCAGAACTGGGGATTGAAATCAGGCCCTTGTGCTTGCCAGGCAAGCGCTTATTCTACTGAGCCATCTCCCCAGCCCCTAAATTTCTTTTTTATCATTATTCCTTTCATGTCTTTCTCTTCTTTAATTGCTCTGGCTAAATTTTCCAGGACTATGTTGGATAAGAATGGAGACAGTGACCATCTTTGTCTTGTTCTGGATTTTATAGTGAAAGTTTTCAGTTTTTGTCCATTTAGTATGATGGTGACTGTTGGTCTGTCATACATGGCTTTCATCAGATTGAGATAAAGACCATCTATTCCAGTAGGGCCAGCCAAATAGCTCAGCTGATTAAAGTGCCTGCAAGCAGGTGCAGGGGCCAGGGATTTGATCCCCAGGCCTGTCATGCCAGCCCCGCCCACCTCTGGGGCATGCTGAAACTGCGATTGAGACTGAGCTTGGTGGCATGTGCCTGTAATCCCAGCTCTTGGGAGGCTGTAAACAGGTGGATCACTATGAGTCTGATCTAGTAGTGAGACCCTGAACACCCTGTAGACCCTTTCCTAAAATAAAAAAAAAAAAAAAAAAATCTATTCCAGTTTTCAGTAGGGTGCTGGACTCTGTCCCAAGCTTTTTCTGTATCTTTTGAGATGATCATATTTTGTCCTTGGTTCTGTTAATATGGTGTGTTGTGTTTATTGATTTGCATATGCTGAACCATTCTTGCATCCCTGCAGTAAATCCCAGTTGATTATAATTTTTATTTATAATAGTTTTCTTGATAATTTACTGCATTCTGTTTGTCAGTATCTTATTGAGGGTGTTTGCATCTGTGTTCATTACGGAGACTGACCTGTGATTCTCTTTCTTATTTGTGTCCTTCTCTTGTTTTGGTATCAGAGTAGTGCTGGAAAATCGTTCTAGGAAGTATTGGAATGTTTGATTGGAATACATTGGAAAGTATTCCATTCCAGTGGAATGTACTGATTCCCTTTGGAAGTATTGACCCTTGCAATTTCATTAATGAGTTTGACAAGTAGTGATGTTAGGTCTACTTTAAGTTTCTTATAGAATTCAGCACTGAATCCATCAGAGCCTGGACATTTCTTTGTTGGTAGGTTTTTAATTGCATCTTTCATTTCATTGATTAATAGTTTTTTTAGGATTTTTATATCTTAACTCAGCTTTGGTAATTATGTATCTAGGAATCTGTCATTTCTTCTGCATTTTCTTTCTTATTAGAACACAAGTTTTCAAAGTAAGTGTAGATGATCTTCTGGATTTCTGCAGGGACCATTTGTGATTTCACCCTTTTCATTCCTAATTACATGGATTTGAGTCTTTCCTTTTTTGGTAAGGTTGGATAAGGTTTTGATGATTTTATTTAATCTTTCAAAGAGCCAACTCTTCAATTCATTGATTCATTGTATTGGTTTTTTAGTCTCTGTTGTGTTAATTTCTGTTCTGATCTTTATATTCTCTCTCTCATTGAGCTTTTGTCTTAGCCTGCTCTTCTTTATCTAGAAGTTTAAGATTTACCATTAAGTTGTTTATTTGCACTTGCTTTATTTTCTTGGTATGAGTTTTTACTGCTATAACTTTCTCTCTTAGGACTGCTTTCTTTGTGTCATAAGTTCTTTGGTAGTATTCTCATTTAATTGTAGAAACTGTCTAATTTCTTCCTAAATTTCATCTGTTGTTGAGGAGGGTGCTATTTCATTTCCATGTCTTCATGAAGTTCCTGCGGTTTCTTTTGCCACTGTTTTCCAATTTCATTGCACTGTGGTCTCATAAGATACATGGAATAATTTCAATTCCTATGCATTTACTTAAGCATGTTCTATGTACTAGTATGTGGTCTCTTTTGGAGAACATCCCCTGTACAGCTGAGAAGAATGTGTATTCTGATGTAGTGGGGGGAACACTTTGTAGACATCTGCTAACTCCATTTGTTCAAAAGTTTGGTTCAGTTCTAATATTGTTGATTTTTTTTTCTTTTTTTTTGTCTAGTTGCTCTGTCTTTTTGTGACAGTGGAGTATTGAGATTTCCCAATACAGGGACTGGGGAGATTGCTTAGTAGAATAAGCGCTTCCCTAACAAGAGCAAGGGCCTGAGTTCAATCCCCCGTTCCAAAAAAAAAAAAAATCCCAATATAATTGTATTAGTGCTTATTTGATTTTTCATGCCCATGAATATTTTATGTAGTTCATTGTCTAGTATATGTTGCATATATATTTATTATGGTGGACTGTTCCCTTTACAAGGATGTAGTGACCTTCATCTCTTCTAATCAGTCTTGGCTTGAAATTCACTTTGTTTGCATATAGAATAGCTAGCTACCCCTGCTTTTGTCTGGGTTCCTGTCCCATGAAATGTTGTTTTCCATCTTTTGACTTTTAGTGTATGAATTTATTTTTAAATTAAATGTGTTGCTTTTATGCAGCATATTGTTGGATCTTGCTTCTTGATTCCTCCTGCCGGTCTGTATCTTTTGATTGGTGAATAGAGATCATTTATAT